CAGGATTTTTAAATGACCCAGCTACTCAGAATTACATGAAAGATAGCAGATCTACAAAGCAAAAAGAAAATGTCTCTATATTGCCTTACTTGTTTCCATTTACTACATTCAAAGAGCATGTGTTATTGAGTATGGCTTTCTTCAAGCTGCATTCATACCTATCCTCTGCTCTATCACATGCTTACACCAAAGCAAAAGTGGTGATGGACACAAGGTAAACACACATTGGATCAATGGAGGAAAAAGCAACTAGACACTACAGCAAGTCCCTTGGCCTGGCACCAATGTGGTGGCAATCTTGGACTTCATAAATGACAGACTCACATCACTTTCCCTGCATTTGTGCTGTCTTGGCACTAATTGGTCAGTTTGGGGGGAAAAGTATGTGAAAACTATGTTAAGGTGTGTAACTTTTGTTTATGCTGTGGAACATTTTTTCAACGATGTAAAGGTGTGTTGCCTTTGTGTATACATTTGCTTAACTCTGTGAAGCTTTGAGTCTTTGTGTAAAACACCAGATGGTCTAATAAAGTGCTGAATGGCCAGTAGTGAGGCAGGAGAAAGGACAGGCGGGGCTTGCAGGCAGAGAGAATAAATAGAAGAAGGAGCAAGATAGATAAAGGAGGAGGGCATCATGGGCCAGCCACCCAGTTACACAACAAACCACTGAGTAAGAAGTAAAGAAAGAATCCTGAATAGATAAAGATAAAAACCCAGAGGCAAAAAGTTGACAAAGGCAAAAGGAATAATTTAAGATAAGACAAGCTAAGCTAAGGCTGGGCATTCATAAGAAAGAATATGCCTCCTTGTATGATTTATTTGGGATCTGGGTGGCAGCCACCACCCCCAAAAACAAAGAAGCAAAGGGGAAGGAGCCCAAAGAATAAGAAGGAAAAAAAAAAAAACAGCCAACAACATTTTGGCATTCCAATGTAAAGCTAGAGTAAAATAAATACAACTCGGAAGCCTAGAAATTCTGATAAGCTGGCTGTCAATTCTTTGGTTGTCCAAGGTCTTATAGATAATATGACTTCCTCTGATGATTTCCCTTCCTTAGAAGACATGGTCTGTATATTCGTCTCTGATTTGTAATCTGCATCTATTCACATACACACTTGTCACCATCAGAGTTATTCTTTTTACAAAGTCCATTGTTTCAAGTTAGCAATAGTTGAGGTTTGACAGCAAAAATGAAAACAAGTACTTTGAGAACCACAGATAGATCATGTCAGACATACTGAAACAGTGACAGATACTTGGAAACAGAAGGACCATATGTGATGTTACCATTCAACACCAGTTATATTAGATATGCTAGCCTGATACCCTGATGTTTACTATTTCATTCTATTTTTAACCAGCTAGGGCTTCCTTGAGCCTGGGTCAATCTCCTGGCTAAGCAAACATCTAGTATCCTAACCTAACCATCCATTATCCTAATAGTGTATCATAATCAATTACATTAAATTTCCTTTAGGCAAAAGTATATGTGTCTAACACAGTCAACATCGTGTTTTGAATTATTCCATGAAAACAATCAAAGTCATGTTGACCAGATTAGACTAAACAGTCAGTCTATGTGACTGGAAGAAAAGCACCTTAAGGTCTTCACAAATCATTGTGGTAGGGAGCACTGTGTGATTTTGGTGATTAAAAGGTAGCTTAGCACAAACTAGCTGCCAGCCTCTTTCCATATCAGAAGCCTCTTTTGATAAAAGGGAGTCTTCTTTTGTTCTCATAGCCATACTCTCTAATGGTGTCTGATGTTTGGAGGAGACTGTCCTACAAAGTCAAGATTCACTGTAGTCACTTAAATGTATTTTGATCTCTGATTTCTGTACTTATACTCCAGGTCTAATTCAGAACACAGCCTTTGCTCAAGTAGAACAGTTCTTACCTGTAGATTCCTGGTGTTGGCACTAAACACTCAGAATAACCATGGAGTGTTACTAAAATGAGTTCCACGCACAAACTGACGCCCTGCAAAAGTTTTTAAATTCATCTAAACACTTATTCTTTTAAAGAAAATAATTTTGCACATAGGTGCCATTCAGAAGCTTAGGTGGGACAAATTGTGTGTGCATACAAATAAACAGCTGGCTAAGTGGCTCAACAGACCTTCAGTGCCTCAGATGGGGATTTTCTCCTGCTGTTCTGGATACTTAGATCAGGCTAGAAATGACTTTCATGTTCCTCAGGGGTACTGTCTACCTTGGGGCGCTCACAGATCACCCATTCACTTAGACTGATCACCAAGGAGAATGTGGGCTGTGCCTGTCCCGGAAGATTGCACAGGCTGCTAGGATACAGGTTAAGACACCGGCTAAACTGTTACACTGATACTTCTTAAGCAGATTCAGTTTTGTCTAATAGATTTCTTTTCGAGGTTGTCATGTCAGCAACTTTAAAAACAAAGTTTCGCTTTAAAACAAATTAGAATTCTTTGTTTTCCTTTTGATCCTGGTAAGAATTTGGAGTGCTGTCTCTTTATAGGGCTCCAAGTTAAACTTGTTGAAGATGGGCTAAGGAAGGAATCTTGAACAGAGGCCTGATTTTCTTTTTGTAAGACTGGAGGAAAACAACACCACTACAACCTCAGGGCTCAGAAGTAGATGGAATTCCATTGGGGTTTTCACTTGTTCACTTAGAACACTGCACCTTAGACATGAACTACCTTTCTTCTGACACAATCTAGATACCAACTGAATCCTCAATACTTAACATTTGCAATTAAGTCTTGACACTGCAAAGGTCATGAGACCCTGCACTGAGTTGACTCTCGTTTTACTGACAGCTGACAGCATGCCACGGTTAAAATTTTAGATGAGTACAAAATGATGAAAGGAACATATCGTGGACGCTCTGAACAGTTTATGGAGCCAGCATAAATGGCACATACAATTGTCCTTAAGAGGAGAGGAGGATTGATGAACAGATACCAGGGTGTGAGAGAGAAGGGCTGCAGGCTCTCTCTCACCAGAGAAAAGCTTTCACACAACAATGTGTGCTGGATGACCAATTTTCTCACGGAATTTTGCTACTGCCTTTATTAACCCTATACCACTGCCACCTGGATGTATCTGTTTAGACAGGGAATTGGCGCTTCTGACTAATTCCTGTAACAAATGTGTGACTAACATTGAACATCCTGGTAAATATTAGCAAGAATATATGTTGCTCTACAAGTCTACAAAGCTAGGGAAATTCTCAGTGTCAGAGAGAAACAGGAGAAACAAAACTTGAAGAATTATCTTATGGAGAACTCAGACAGATACAAGGAGAGAGGAAGAAGCATTAGAAGTCAATCTAGGTAGGACTAGCCACCAATTCTACCTTCCATTAAAATATAAACAACCATGGGCGAGTTCATATTTTAATTTTCCTTTAAATTAACTGATTTTGTTTTAGACACTAAATTTCACATCAAACTGGCATCTGGAAACCCAGTAGATGGGAGCTATAAAGGATTGTTTTAAGTTGGGACAGCCAATGAGCACTAAAGGAAAAAAAAATAAGAAGTAAATATTATGGACAAGCAAGATAGCTCAGTGGGTAATGCCACTTGCCGCCAAGCCTGAGTTCAATTCCTGGAACTCACATGGTGCAAGGAGAGAGACCCAATACACTCATGTTTTCCTCTTTCCTCACATGCATGCCTTGACACAAATACACACATACACAATAAATAAATTAAGAAAAACTAAAAGTAACTGTTGTTACCTTCTCAATCACACCAAAGTCCACATGTCAGCTTCCATCAGTTGCTCAGCTGGACCAAAGGCAGTAGTACTAGTAACTGAGGCAGTTTCAACCCAAAAGTGTAAATGATCTATATGACTCTTTGAGGTTTAATCTAATTTAAAAATATGAAACACTCTTTTAGACTGTTTTTAGGTGAGCTTACATTTTTACAAGCATGATTCTGCTACTTTTTTTTGCTACAAGTAATCTAAATCTTATGTTGCAGAAGAACACAGTTTTTCCTATATTTCACTCACACATACCTCTAAAATTTCAGTGAGAAATTTTGTCACTGTGTCTTTATATAAAGTAACCCATGTCCTTAAAATGTATCCCTCAGTGAACTGTTTGGAAAACAGACTTTGACTGACTGATACTGAAATAGTTCTGAGGTTTCCATTAGATGACTTCCTGTTTAATCTCCCCACTGTAAAATCATCTCCATTTACCTTCAGAAATATTTTTCTCTCCTCTTAAACCAAATAGTAAGCCAGCTGAGGGTTTCACTGGCAAAGCAGCACATCTGAGACTCAGCCCACTAGTGCAATGACAGGCACTCCTAAATTCTAACACATCTTAGTCCCTTTTTATGTCCTCCCAGGTCTTCTGAACAGACAGAAGGCTCTCCTCGTCATTCTGCTTAGAGGTTTGCATAAATGACGAAGGCTCTGGGAGGCTGACAAATTCCGCTGCTATTTTCTCCTCTCTGCTTGCTTGTCACTCCGTAATTGCAGTAAATGCAACTGAAAGTACTTTTCCTTGAAGGCCATTTGACAGAGGGGATGAAAACACATTTATTCTTTCAAGGCTTGTGTATTTTCCTGGGAGAAGCCTGCCTATAAAATGTGTCCTTTTATCCTCAGAGAGCTATTTGGGAAACGTCTCTGAGAGGAAGCCTGATGAAGAGGCCTTTCCCTGCATCTTCCTCCTCCCTTCTAACTTCTGAACCCTGCCGTGTGGGCAGGGTTGTTTTCTTTTTGTTTTTTGATACAATTCTTTGGTGACTTGTTTCTTTTCAAGAAATTCAAATTGGGTAAGATAAGAGGATTGGATACACTTGGGTTGCATACCTTTAGGAGAGCATCCCCTGAAAAACACAAGGAAGTTTTGCTTTACAGTATTTAACAGAAGGGAAAACTGTGTGTTTAAATTGCTAAAAAGTGGTTTCTATAAGGCTCTGTAGTTCCTCGGCATAAATGTCAGTTATCACAGTCGCCTTTAGGTCTAGGTGGGTCCTAGGCCTGTTGAATGCCTCTTACCTATGAACAGATTCCACTCAGTATCCAGATCCGCCTGGTTGGCTAGACAGCCCTTCATGACGTTGAGGCAGTAGTTGTTACAGGGTCTCACGGCAGGCAGGCCACGACAGTATGGGCAGTAGAGCATCTTCATGAGAGCTCGAATGCACCCGGGGGTGGGGCTCACCTGGAAGTGACACAAGACAGGAGCAAAATCAGAATCAAAGAGATGAATGGGAGGGGAAGAAATGATCTCCTAAAACAACACAGGCAAAGCCTTCAGCAGCCCCCAGGCTTGAAGAAACGGTGAGGAGCACAGCCCTTGTCAAGTTTTGATATGGAAGCCGCTGAATTCCTATTCAATACTGGTGCTTAGCAAAGTAATCGTTTACCGAAAGGCTCCTGCCCACATTTTGCTCTCTTTCTCTCTGGCGTTGCAATTCAAGCCGAAAACACGGACACTGTTTCATGGCAGTAGAACGGGAAGTGACATAATGCATGTACAGGCAACTTGAAAAGCCAAGAGCTCTATAAAGACGTAGTTGCTATTAAAGTTTAATGTGACACCTTTAGCAAAGTTTCCGAATGGTTACTCGATCCTTTTCTAGCGGAGCTGGCGGAAACCTTTCCTGTGTTCACAACCATAGACAGGCTCACTGTCGCCTTGACTGGGGTCTATGTGATCCAGGCCTGCACAGAAGCAATGGACCGGGTAAAGCACTGTCTTGGGGCTTCTGAGGATGCAGGACTCTAGCAAAGCCGCTGCAAACAGATCCAGCTTGGAATGCAAGCAGGGACTCTTTCGGGAGCTCAGAGTCATCACTAACCAACCTGCAATGAAGTTCTATTTGTCCAGGAGCAAGGAACGCAGTGTCCCCAACCAATCCTAAAGCAGTGCAACCTGGCGCCCAAAGAACGTCAGAACAAGAAGACTGAGAAAGGCAGTCAAGTCTTCCTCTGGGAAAGGTACAGTCAGCAGCTGCCTCAGCCCTGGCTCTGCATAAGAAAGGGCCTCTAACACTCACGCCTGGGTGGGTGGGGACCCAGGGACCCATCCCCCATTCTTGACCTGTTTACTACTGATAGGTTAAGGGAGAGAATGAGTTATTGCTCTCAGCTGTGTATGCGTTGGTGACCCTACTAGGTCCCAATGGGTAACCCCAATCCAATGGTTACACAGATGGCCATGGTCAAACTAAATAAGATCACAAAAAATAAAAATCAGATGTCATGAATCTAGGAAAGGGACTGGTAAGTCTAAGGGGTGGTGGCCACAGGGGTAGGAGGTAGGTAGGAGTGGATGTGCCTGTGGGTGCAATATATATGTAAAATGCGCGCGCACACACACACACACACACACACACACACACACATACACACACACGTAATTACAAGGAATCATTAACAAAAGAAGAAAATTGTAATTTGATGTCAAGATTAAAACATATGTAAGACTGTTAGCTCCTCAGAAGAGGTAGCAGTTACGTCATCACCTGCAGCATAAGCTAACCACAGAAAGCTGTTTCTCATGACTAGATGTAAAATTATTGTGCAGTTATTTGACTGGCTGGCGCTTACATGATTTTGATGTTTCAAAATCTAGCTACAGGCTGCTGTTCGTGTATTTTAGAAATAAAAAGAAGCCAGGTGTGTTGTCCAGACCTCCTTGAGAGCATGGTCTCACAGACAGGCAATGGAGCTTGGAATGTCTCCTGGAAAACATTGCAGTAGTATGGCACGACATGACTGGAACATTAGGGTAATAGTTATTTTCATACTTTAGTTTACCACTGCCATTACCCGACAGTCTGTTTTTGTTTTTTGTTTTTTTCTTTTGCCTAGAAATCAAACTTAGGGATTTTTAATACGAGGTTTCAGTTTCTATAACCATTTTGCTTTATCTGACAAATAATTGTATAGGAATTTGGACATCCAGAAAAGTTGACATTTGTAGTATCTTATATACTGAGGTCAGGTGAGAGCTTTGAGAAACTTCCCCTGGATTTCTTAACCCCGAACTGGAGAAGTGAGGAACACCTCTTACTTTCCAGGTGCTTTTGGTCATTTGGAGACATATGCTTAACAGCTTAACAGAAATAAAATTGTAAAATCTTAACCTTATCAAAGTTACCAACTTGTTGTAAATTGTTAAAGACAATTAAGATATGCAAGTTAGTGGTCAGCCATGCAAAGTACAACTGTAATTTATTTACAGAGACAAGCTTGGAGGAGAAACCAATTTATAACAGCCATTACATGGCCTCCTGGATGTTGTCAAGATTAAGCCTAAAGCAAGGAACTCAAAGTATACTTTTTAATAGAAGTTTCAAGTATACTTAAAGTTTATTTAATATAAAATAATGTTCAAAATCAGGCATATGAAAATTTGATTATAAAATAGGTTAAATTTACAATGAACTTGCAGAGGAGAAAGTTCCCAGTCTCAAGTAGTTCCTTTGGATGGAGCATGATCCCACCATAGTAAGTTGCTTGCTAGCCTACTTACCAGACAAGGATGCCTGGGAAAAAAGACCTGCCAGAAGTCTGCAGCTTCTGCTTCCAGTGGTGTGGGCCTGATCACCTCTATTTGTGTGGGCCTGACCATTCCAGTTATGTAGGCCAAACAAGAAAAAACTAAAGAGAAAAAAACAAAAACAAAAACAAAAAACACAACACCCTCTTATTTATCTACAGAAAAGATGAATAACTTCTCATGGCTCACACGACAGGGGGATGGATTCTCTTGCCCAGTGGAGGATCTCAGAGTCCGAACCCACATCTTAAATGTCTCAAACAATAGAGAAGCCAGCAGTAATCACTAGTTCGCACCAGCTCCTGAACTGACATAGGAAGATGCCATGGGCAGGGGCATGGGACTTGTGTGCTAGTTCAATTAATTTTGCCCTTCGTCTTAGTTTTAAATTGCTGTGATGAAACCCCATGACCAAAGCAACTTGGGGAAGGGTTTATTTGGCTTATACTTCCACCCACATCACAGCTCCTCATCAAAGGAAATCAAGACAGGAACACAAGCAAGGAAGGGATGGAGCCAGGAGCTGAGGCAGAAGCCATGGAGGAGTGCAGCTCACTGGCTCATTCATAGCTTGCTCATCCTACTTCTTATAGAACCCAGGGCCACTGGCCAGGGACTGCACCACCCAAAATAGGCTGGTCCCTTCCCCATCAATCACTAATTAAGAAAATTCCTTACAGCTGGATCTTACAGAGGCATTTTCTCGATTGTAGTCCCCTCCTTTCAGATAGCTCTAGCTTGTGTCAAGCTGACTCAAAGCCAGTCAGCATGCCCTTTATTCCGGCATTCAATTCTTTCTGGTAGCAAAAGCTAATTTCAGTGTCTGGACCCTAACCACCCATGTTCCCTCTTTAAAAGAGGATGACAGATACTCTGTCATCAATCTCACAATCTTGGGAAGTTATTCAGAATATCCAAGCCGTGTCTTTGACCAGTGGTTTTATATTTGCAGAGTCAATAAATGATTCTATTAAATGATGACTTAGATAAAGGAGATTCTCTCTCCCCAGGCTCCACTTATGGCACTTTCAGAATACAACTTAGTCTCTACCCAGACAGAGAGCTCCAGGCCATGCCTGTACTTTGAAGCCCACAAGGAGTACACAGGCTTTGGCAGTGAAGCTTGTAGATGTTTTCTAAGAAATTCCAAAAGCCAAAAGCACATTTAATTTGGTTATCTTGCTTTACAAATTATGCTTTTAAACAACCAATCTATATTAAACTAGAATTATGTTAAGAAATATGCTTACTGTTGTCAGTAAATCTTGAGATTTGTTCATCGTAGAGTTGGCTTTAGCCTTCTTTGTCAATTCAGCCCAAGTTACATGTAAGTTATCTATTGCAGCTTTGACGTGACTAACTGCTTTCATCTTTCATCTGTCTGTTGGTCCAGTGTATGGAATGAAATGTTGTAGTTCTTAATGTTCCCCACAAAGTTATTCGGTTGCTATCTCCTGACTTATGTTCTGGATCTTTGCCAACTGTTGAGTTTTATCAGGACCCTTTGATTGATCCTTTTCTGAGGCACCCTAACTACTGCTTCCTCGTTGCCCTTTTGGCAGCCATGAAGCAGTTACAGTAGAGATTGGTGTCCTCAGATCCCCCAAAGCAGTTCACCGACAAAGTGAGCAAGTAAGAGTGAGGCAGAGAGAGAAAGAAGTGGAAATAATTCCATGTTTCTCTACTGTGTTGAGATGAAGTATAAAATCCCTCCACATTTCCATTCCCGGCCTGGTTGACTCTTGCAGTCCTTTGTTTAAGGGTTTTGTGTTTGCGAGCATGACTTTCCACAGACATCCTTCCTTTGATATGGTTTTTCTCCAGACTCAGCATGTTCTCACTCTGGTCCTGTTTCCACCCAGGTCCTGTTCTCACTAGGGTCCTGTTTTCACCTGGGTCCTGTTATCACCTGGGTCCTGTTCTCTAGCCACAGCCCTATTCTCCCCAGGGTCCTGTTCTCTCACCAGGGCCATGTTCTCACCCAGGTCCCATTCTAACTTGGACCATGTCCTCCTTTGGGTGTGAGCTGTTTTCCTCATTTCATTCAGGGTCACAGTATACAACCTGGTGAGCATCCTGGATCTGTGTTCACTCATACAGTCTTGGTCACCTGCTCAGCACTCTATATGACAGACACATACTATTATGGTCACCTTAGAATTGTGCTATGACTTTTGTTTTTTCATTAAGTGCATTTAGAAACAACCTCTCTATTACCTTTCCCAGTTTCTTGGCCACAATGTTATTCCAAGAAGAAAAGAAAAGGATGGATTTGTGCATTTTCATACTTAGTTACTGCCGTTAACTTATCCATCAATGGCTATTAATTGATTGCATTAATTCTAAAGCTTTCATCTTTTGAAAATATATAATTGTGTTAGGACAAGTTCAGTTTCTCTGACATTTCAGAAGAGTTTCCAAATCAGAGTGGCAACCAACAGAGATAATTGAATAGCCTTAATAATCTAAGAGAACAGTGTTGTTCAAGTTAAGTGCAGGTCTCTGAGTACTTCTGGAAGTGATGTCCTGTTTGGTCAAAGACAGGACTTTTGAGAAATAAAACAGAGCATTGGGGATAGGTGGTGAAGCTCTTGTGTTCAGGCATTGCACTTTTTGAGCATATGCAACAGCATGCCTGAATTATAAATAATTAA